AGTTCAGGACGCCGTCGTTGGTCACCAAGGAGCAGGCAGGAGTGAGCTAACACGCCTTTGGTTTTGCTTGTCAGTTCACCTCTAGCCAGCAGAATGAATCCTTCGGTTAGGATCATTAGACACTTTTCTAGGCTTAGTTGAAGCTGACGGTGGGCTGCAAAACACATACGGCACATACATTCATTTAACTGTTTGAGATCCGATAGCAGCAGCAGAACACTACACCGAGAGACCGAACAATTCCTACAGCGTTTCACACTGGGGGACAATCGTGTGCCGGGCAGGAACGCAGACTCTGACCCCCATGGACCCTTTTGGCCTTGAAATCTAAGAACTGATTTGAAGACAGAGATGGTTGAAAAGAGCGGGGAAATTGCTCCAAATGTCCCAATCCCTCCGACCCCCGCAAAAACATTTCAATCAGCTCATTTCAACTGGCCCCTCCCTTCGCTCACGTGCTCAAGCTTCTGTACTTCCCTGCAGCCATCAATCTCACCATAAATACCTTAACCAGAGGGCGGGATGGCGGTACCTGGCGTGTGACACCGGCAACCGTCCTGGGGCAAACCTGGAATGCTGAACTTGGGGCCCGATCCTGAACAGGGCCTATTTATTTCCATGGGAGCGAAGGGTACTCAGCTCCTTCCAGGAGACTGAGCCAAAGTCCATTGCTGTCAATGGACAGTCTCTAAAGACCCTCTACACACAGCTGAAGAGGGAGGGATTTTCACACTGGTTTTAAGATCTACTTGCCGGTTTTAAGACTGTACCGAGTCTCAGCAGCTGATCTAACAGGCCCATTGGCTATTAAAGCTCTGCAGCTCACCCCTAAGGATACGTCCACACTATGCCGGATCGGCAGGTAGCGATCGATCTATCGGGGATTGATTTATCACGTCTCGTTTAGATGCAATAAATCAATCCCCGCCGCACTCCCCGTCGACTCCGGAACTCCACCAGAGCGAGAGGCGGAAGCGGAGTCGAAGGGGGAGCCGTGGCCGTCGATCCCGCACCGTGAGGACGGGAGGTAAGTCGAAATAAGATTCGTCGACTTCAGCTACGCTATTCTCATAGCTGAAGTTGCGTATCTTACATCGACACCCCCCCCCGCAGTGTAGACCAGCCCTAAGAGTAGTTCTGCAAAACCCATTAATCACTGAGGACCTAGTTGTCTTTAAGGGGAGTATGCAGGTCACTGCATCTCAAGGTCAAGCCCACCTCACCTTCTGTGAAACACCCAACAAGGATTTTGCATGGCTCAAGCGAGCAGGATTCACCCCTCACTGCTGGAAGAGTCTGCTCGGAGCATCTGGGAGATTGCGAAGGCTTGAACGAGAGGAGGTGACTATGAGATCGTTCCCTCTTTCATCTCCCAGTCAAGGTTGTTACGTCCAAGCCCTACTGATCATCCAAACTCCTGTCATGCCAACCAATTCCCTTCTAACCGAATCCTCACCGCGTCTGAGACCCCGGTCTGTTTCCTTCGAATGTTCAGTTGAAATGTGACTAATGTGGCCTAGCTGTTCAAGATCACGATGACCCCACCAGTGGGAAAACAGACAGACCAATGCATGATCTCTTGCAGCCTGCCAGTCACATGGACTGAGACGACGGTGACAAGGCTTTCAAAAGGAGAAGCCATTGGGTTAGTTATTATTGGGGGTGCATAGCTCCTAAGTGGTGAACACTGAATAGGGATGTGGAATCTGGGGCCATGTTGGTGCCAAGATGCTGCAGCCAAAGTGACTCTGATTTCCTCCAAAACACAGACAGAAGGCACAGAATATTTAAGCGTGTTCACCATACATAAGGGCTGGTATGAATTACCAGGGGACAAAGCAAGGTCCCTTTAAGCATGGTGGAGATGACAGGAATGATCGTCCTCCTTCCATGGCCAAGGAGCAGTTATGGTCCCACACTGGATTTCCTGTGGAAGTTCGCTCCTTGGAAGCCTCCAGGATGGGGTGTGACAAAGAAAGAAAGGATAGGAATAAATGGTCAGTTTTCACAGCGGAGTGAGATAAATAGCAGGGTCCCCCTAGATTTGTATTGGGACCAATGCTGTTCAACAGAGTCATAAATGACATGAAAAAAGGGGTAAACAGTGAGGTGGCAAAATTTGCAGATGATACAAAACTACTCAAGCTAGTTAAGTCCCACTACATCTCAAGGCCAAGCCCACCTCACCTTCTGTGAAACACCCAACAAGGATTTTGCAGACTGCGAAGAGTTACAAAGGGATCTCACAAAACTGGGCGACCGGGCAACAAAATGGCAGATGAAAGTCAGTGTTGATAAAAGCAAAGTAATGCACATTGGAAAACATAATCCCAACGATACATACAAAATGCTGGGGTCCAAATGAGCTGTTACCACTCAAGAAAGATCTTGGAGTCATTGTGGAGAGTTCTCTGAAAACATCCATGTGCAGCAGCCGTCAAAAAAGCGAACAGCATGATAGGAATCATTAGAAACGGGATAGAGAATAAGAGGAAATATGGTAATGCCACTATATAAATCCATGGTACACCCACACCTTGAATACTGCTGCAGTTCTTGTGGCGCCATCTCAAAAAAGATACATTAGAACTGGAAAAAAGACAGAGAACAACAAAAATGATTAGGGGTATGGAATGGCTTCTGTATGAGGAGAGATTAAAAAGACTGGGACAGTTCAGCTTAGAAAAGAGACGACTAAGTGGGGATATGCTAGAGGTCTATAAAATCATGACGGGTGTGGAGAAAGTGAATAGGGAAGTGTTATTTACCCCTTCACATAATACAAGAATAGGGGTCACCCAATGAAATTAATAGGCTGCAGGTTTTAAACAAACACAAGGCAGTACTTCTTCACACCATGCACAGTCAACCTGTGGAACTCATTGCCGAGGGATGTTGTGAAGAGCACAAGTACAACTGGGTTAAAAAAAGAATTAGAACAGTTCACCGAGGATAGGTCCATCAGTGGCCATTAACCAGGATGGTCAGGGACACAACCCCATGCTCTGGGTGTCCCTAGCCTCTGTTTGCCAGAAGCTGGGAGTAGATGCCAGGGGATGGATCACTCAATAATTGCCCTGTTCTGTTCACCCGGCATTGGCCACTGTCGGAAGACAAGATACTGGGCTAGTTCCATGCGAGCCTGGCACATGGCAGCTAGTGCTCAGAGTGGGACTTGTGTTGCTGCAGGCTGCCCTGTCCTGGGTTGATTAGGGCACTGATTCAGCAAAGCACGTAAGCATCTGGCTAGGCCTCACTGACTCCACAGCATGTCCCTAAGTGCTCTGCGGCCTCAGGGCTTAGCTGCTCCTAACATGGTGCTAACTGGGAGAGCTGCATGTAGGGCTGTGCCATATCGGTATTTTCCGACAGGTAAGGACAGGGTGCAGGACAATCTCTCCATTATGCAGGCTGAGGAACTGTCCGTCTATCCCACCTGCGCAAGAAATTCTGCATCTCACCAACCCTCCACCCTCAAATTCAGCACCTTATACCCCTTTCAGATAGAGACACACACAGCTGTCAATCAAGAGCCACGCTGACCCTGCCACCTGATCTCCGGGGGCGGGATCCACTGCCTACCAACGCCGACTAGAATCTTTCCATTGGATTTGATGTAGGTTGGCTTGTGGCCTAGGAGATCACCCCATGAGGAAGAGAATGGCCCGGGGGGGGAAACTGCTGTATCTTACCCACACCTTGCTCAGACACACTGGGCCAATTCCATCCTGACCCGCGCCGTGGGTAAACGGAGACGGGGCAGTTACTGACGTCAGCAAGCGAAGACCCTGCGATTTGTGAACGAACCTCTTGGAAAAACCACTTTGAGCAACACATTGTGCATCCACAAGGAAACCCGCCTCTCTTAAAGTAAGGTCAATCTCACGCAGCATCCCCGGAGGCCAGTCCTAGGTGCTGTACAGACACAGAGTAACCAACAGCCCCTGCCCCAAAGAGCTTCACATCTAAATACGCAAGACAGACAAAGGGTGGGAGGGGAAGCAGAAGCATAGAGAGGCAAGTGACTTGCTCAAAGTCACTCAGTAGCAGAGCTGGGGATGGAACCCAGGTGTCCTGACTACCAGCCCAGTGCCCTAGCAACTTGACCATGCTTCTGTGCAAAATCCCAAACCACTTGATGGAGCTAATCAGCCGCAGAGGGAAAGGGAGGACAGAGAAATGATACGTTTTTAGATGAAACAGGAAAACAGAAAGTATGCAGATGAGGCAGAGAAGTGAAAGAAAGCTGCCCTGGACGACAGGAATTGCAGAGGAGAAGGCTCTTGCATGAAGACTTAAAATATACTTGTATATATTGTTCAGGTCACTGGGGACACAAAATGTTGTTTAAGTTTTTTGTTAAAGTATTTCAAAATGCTATAGAATAAAGTATTTTCAAATACCTCAACAGGGCTAGAACTACAGCTAAGGTAAGCAGGCTTAGCCATGCTGGTTGCAATGGAGCAACGGCCATTGACACTAGCTAGGTGTGTGGCCCGGAGCTTTTAAGCACATTGTTCGGGCACTCCGCTATTGCACCAGAGCTGCTGTATAACTGGGAGAACCTAGTCAGGGTGGCCTTAAAACCTACTGAGGTCTGCAGACAGGCCAAGATTTTTAAAAAGCAGGTGCTTAAAGTTAAGTGCCTAAACCCATATTTAGGCATCTAAAAGAGTGGCTTGATTTTCAGACCGCGATGAGGCCCCCAACACGTGGGGAGACGTCTCATCAGGAAACCTTGGGCATGGCTGAAAGTGCTCACCCCCTTATAAAACATTCAGGCCACACGTTTAGGTGTCTAAATGTTGTTCTTAATTATTTGTACTGTGGAAGGGCCCAGTCACGGACCAGGACCCCATGCGGTAGGTGCTATATAGCGCAGAACAGAATGATGGTCCCTGCCCCACACAGCTGACAACCTAAGTAAACACGGATTGAGAAGTTGGCATCCAGGGTGACCTTTTCAAAAGAGACGAGCGATTCTGGGCACCTCCATTTTCGGAGCCCAATGTGAGACACGTTAAAGGTGGTTTTCAGAAAGCGTGAGCAGCCAGGAGCAGATTTTCAAAAGAGCCAGGGTTCTGGAGTATCGCCAGTCCAGAGTGTTCAAAACCCCCAGACTGTGTTCAAAATCATGAGAGTGTTTAAAAAATCCTTCATCTGGGGTTCATTTTGATTTGCCTTCTGTTTATTGAGCCTTCGGGGTGCACTTCAGGCCCTGATTCCCAACTTTTTCTTTGCAACCATGAGGGCTAGAAATTTAATTAAAAAAAAAAAGAAAGCTGAGATTCTCATGAAATAACATGACTCCAGAGGCTGGAGCTTTAACATAAGCACTAAATATCATGAGATTTGTAAGAGCTGGCAACACTGGCGACTTAGCAGCACAAACCCCATTGAGAGTCCACGGCACATGAATTCTTGTCATGTCAGGTGCTTTTGAAATTCCCAGTGCTGCCCTCTGAAAAAGCGGTCCTTAAGGTGTCTCCGGTTGGGCACCCAACCCTCATTACTCACCTTGAGGCCCCATTTTGGCCACATGAACCCTCACAGGCAGCCCAGGGGGCGAGCCTGCCTGTAAAACACTTTCCTTTGGGGACATTTTTGGTGCAAGCTGGCTGACAGTGGATTCATACGCTCTCGCTAGGTGAGTAAACCCCCATGATTCTCTTTGCTCCCTACCCCCACTCAGGATTCGGGATCTGGAAGCTAAGTACATAAATTAAGTGCTGGGGACAAAAAGGTAACTAGTTAAAAAACAACCATAAATACTGTACAATGCAAGAGACCGTTGCAGTCCGACAATGCCCCTCCTGGTTCTGCCCCGGCTACAGGCCACAATAACCAACTTGCTTTGCTCTTAAAGCCAACGGAGGGTGAAGCTGCCCTGGTTCTCACAGTGCCCCCTTGTGGCGCTGCCCACTTTCAGGGATCCAGCTAAGTATTGCACATTTTTTATTTCATGCAGCGGCTCCCCTCTTGGCCGGCTGAACGGAGATCAGCTCTCTGCCACCTCTGCAATCAGAGCTGTTGACTCTCAGCCAAGACGCTCCCACCTCTCCCCTCCAGACACTCAGGTAGCCCTCTGGGATCAGCGCTCGTGGGTGAATGCGATACTGCTGCCATTGTATGACACTTGCTATATACAGCTCATCACTGGCTGGGACTGACGGCAGGCTGGGGTGTCGGCACCCTGCATGCAATTCCCTGGGCACGACGCTGCCTCCGCTTCCATGCAAGCTCCTTGTCAAATGTCCCCCCCCACAGAAAATAAATAAGGAGATTGTATATATATGCAAAACAAACAACACCACCACAAGCGTTCTTTGGGTGACAGCGATGAGTAAGCAGGTTAGCTAGAGACCTGGAGATGCTGGAGCAGCTGCGGCGAACGGGGATGCTGGAGCGGCTGCCGCTGACAGGATCCCCTGTGTGCTGCCGCTGTGTGTGGGGATCCCAGTGAAGGTGGCGGTGAAGTGAATGTGACGGTTTGCTGATTCTGGCTGGGTGGACAAGAGACAGAGCAAGAGAGCGGGCAGGCTGCCGTCCACGGGTGCGCTTGCTTAGACATGGACCTTCCGCTCCCAAGTGCCTGGATTCGGAACCCCAGGCAGGTCGAAGCACAAGACACAAAAGAAAGGTCCCTTGCCGACCGCACAAACAATGGATTCTCTCCTCTACTAAGCCCTCCTCTTTTGCCTGGATGCTTCCAAGCAATGCCACATCAATCTGTCCAGCCAGGTGCCCCTGTCCCCACACCCGCACCCGCAGCTGGAGTAAGCGCAGGCTGTGCCAGAGGATATGTTTGTCGAGTGTGTTCCTCTCACCACGCTGCAGACGCTGTGTTTGGGAGGAGCTTGTCCCCAGGCACACACAAATCATCCGGGATGGGAGACGAGACGGGCTCGGGGGCGGTTGGTAACAAGAGGAGGCAGGGGTGGGGCTGGTGCTCTCCCCACAGTGGGGCCCCGTGCTGCCGCGGATCAGACCCTCCACAGGAGGAGATGGTTTGTGCTGTCATCTCGCCCCACTGTCTCACTGCTGTTGGTGAGTCTGAAATCCTCATAGCCATCCCCCCCGCTGATCACCAGCATCTTAGACTTGGAGAGGACCATGTTGGAGGACCGGTGTCTTGCCAAATCTCTCTTTTCTGCGTCGCTCAGCTTCTCGGTACCTGGGAAACGGAACAAGCCCAGAGAGATCACAGCGGCTGTCTGACGGAACGTGGCGAAGGGGTTCTCAAACCGGGCAGTCTATGTCCCTCCCCAGACATGACGTAACACCCCCAGGAGCCTTGTCATGCATGGGTCCACCCCACTCTCCTCCCAAGCCCCAAAAGCCAGGAGTTTTAAGGGTTGAGTGATTTTGCAGGCTCATCCTGAGGACCTGATTTTCAGAAAGTGTGGAGAACCCAAGCTGCTGAAAATCAGAACCCTTAAGGAGTTTCACACCAGGTATCCCAAATCCCAAGCCCCCTTCCTCAACTGCTTTGGAAAGCCTTGGTCAAAAGGAATGGGCTTCTCACCCTGGAAGGCCCCAGCTCACCTTTTCCAAGAGTAGCATGAATTCTGCTCTGTGCTAGCCTCGCCTTCAGGGAGACTGAGGGAAGGGGCAGCTTATTCATAGATTCCCAGGCCAGAAGAGACCGTTTTGACCATCTAGTCTGACCTCCTCCATAACACAGGCCGGAGAACTTCCCCCCCAAAAGTCCAGGTACACTATGCCCACTGGATCATGCTTGTCCACACATTTGTTGACCCCCCCCTCAAAGGATTCTAATAGATTGGTGAGGCATGATTTTCCTTTACAAAACCCATGTTGATGCTTCCCCAACAAATTGTGTTCATCTAGGTGTCTGATAATTCTGTTCTTTACTATAGTTTTAAGCAGTTTGCCTGGTACTGAAGTTAGGCTTACTGGCCTATAATTGCCAAGATCACCTCTGGAGTCTTTTTAAAAAAATCAATGTCATATTAGCTATCCTCCAGTCATCTGGTATGGAGGCTGATTTAAGTGACAGGTAATATAAGACACTTAGTAGTTCTGCAATTTCACATTTGAGTTCCTTCAGAACTCTTGGGTGAATTCCATCTGGTCCTGGAGACTGATTACTCTTTAATTTATGGCTTTATTCCAAAACCTCCTCTACTGACACCTCTGTCTGGGACAGTTCCTCAGATCTGTCACCTAAGAAGAATGGCTCAAGTGTGGGAATCTCCCTCACATCCTCTGCAGTGAAGACCGATGCAAAGAATTCATTTAGCTTCTCTGCAACAGCCTTGTCTTCCAGTGGCCCACTGACTATTTGGGAGGCTTCCCACTTCTGATGTACTTATTTATTTATTTATTTATTTATTTTGCTGTTAGCTTTTGTGTCTTTTGCTAGCTGTTCTTCAAATTCTTTTTTGGCCTGCCTAATTATACTTTTACACTTGACTTGCCAGAGTTTATGCTCCTTTCTATTTTCTTCAGGAGGACTTGACTTCCAATTTTTAAAGGAAGCCTTTTTGCCTGTAATCGCCTCTTTTACTCTGTTGTTTAGCCATGGTGACATTTTTTTGGTTCTCTTCATGTTTTTTTCATTTCGGGAATACATTTAATTTGAGCCTCTATTACGGTGTTTCCATGCAGCTTGCAGGCGTTTCACACTTGTGACTGTTCCTTTGAATTTCCGTTTAACTAGCCTCCGCATTTTTGTGTATTTCCTCTTTTAGAAGTTAAATGCTTTGGTGGTGGGCTTCTTTGGTATTCCCCCCCCCCAAACAGAGATGTTAAACTGAGGCTGGGTGTCTGCAATAGCATGTCTGCCATAAGGGGGCGCACTCACCACCTGCTGCACCCAGAGAAGTCTCCCAAGAGTTGCAGTGAAGCTGTGTCGCTTGGATGATTGAAAAATAGGCTGGACAAAGAACCGGGGAATGAGAGTGGAGCAGTAGCTCTACTATAGTGAGGGTTGAGACTGTTTAAAAGATAATTATCCTAAATACGCTAAAATCCACATACCAACTTAGATTGTCTTGAAAATCGCTGTGCCTTATGGATGTCTGGGGTAGGGTTAGTTAGGGTTACCATACGTCCGGTTTTTCCCGGACATGTCCAGCTTTTTGGTAATCAAACCCCCGTCCGGGGGGAATTGCCAAAAAGCCGAACAGGTCCGGGAAAATGCCGGCCGGGCACTTCCCCTCCCGCGGCTGCTCTGCTCCTCCCCTGACTCTTCGGCTCTTA